CCCTTCTCTGACAGGTGGACCCCATGAGCCCTCAGCAGACCCAGTTTCTCAGAGTGAGCCCCATGGTCCAGGTTGTCAAACCCCTGGCTGTGGCACCAGTCCCATAACCTGTAATCACTTAGATTCAACTGGCCCTTTCAAACCCTTTCCCTTTGACTAGAAGGATTAATGAAAAAGCTACCTGCACTCTGGAGCGTAGCAGCCCTAAGGGCTCTCTATTCCTTCTTGATACAGCCAGGAGCAGTCTGAGGAGGACCACTGGTGCCCATGTAAACAGCAGCAGCGAGTAATAGTGAACTTTACAAGGCTTGGAAGTTTCTCGGTGACATCCCTGATTATGAGCCCCTGGTAACCAGCACACCTCTCTAGAGAGTGCATCAGGCTGGCAAATGAGTGTCCCATACTTCACAGAAGAGACTCGCCTATTAATATTAACTGTCACCTTTTCTTAGTTGTGTTGGTTGTTATACAGACAGCAGATTGGGCTGCCATATTCAAGCTCCAGCCTGTCTCCTGATGTGACAGGTCCTTCCTCTTTAGTCTAAAGCTGTTCAGCAAGGGCATCTAGGGCATCTCTAGGCTTCAGGGATGTTTCTTCCTCCTGCAGGTCCTTCCCACTGCAAGCTTCAATCCTTCTGTTATTGGCCCCTTCCCTTCTGTGAGTGCTGCAGGGGAATTCTTGTCTTTTCGGCTGTGGGTCCACTGCAGACTGTGCTTGGAACCAGCTATCTAACACTTTCTTAGCCTCCTTGATGTGCAGCCTTCTCACTACCTCCTGCAGCTCAGCCACCTGCTGTAGAAAGTTTTCCACTTAAGCACACCTTCTGCAGGCAGGTCTGCTGCCTTTCTCTGCCCCAGGAGAAAGGTCTGGACACTTCCTGCAGTCGAGTTCTGCTCTGCAGCCTCTCCCTTCAGCAGCCCCATCTGGGTGCAAGTACTGGAGCAGATCCCTCAGCCAGTGCTGCAGCCTTTGCTCTCGTATGAGCACTCACCATCCTGCCATTGAGGGTCAGGTAGTGTTCCTGACCTGTGCAGGTGGCCACAGAATGGTGCCCAGTCGATGGGTTATTGGACTTCAAGCCTCTCTACTTGGCCCATGGAATGTCTGTCCATCAAAGAGATGGCCTCCCACATGAACTGCCATGCAGCCTGCTGCACTGCAACCCTGGCTGACGTGCCATACCCTGTTGGACTGTCCTGTTCATGGTGCTCCTGGTCACTCATGCTCCCCAGGGCTGCCAACTGTGGGAGTCGGGGGTGACCACTACGACTCCAGGCCCCGCACATGCCTCTTAGCTATTCTCATGTGAGCTGCTGGCTCTGGCAGGTCTCAGCAATCCCCTGGGGTTTTGCAGGCTCAGGAACCTCCCTCCCAATATGCTGTGATCCCCAGCTCCTCTGTGTAATGTGCCTCCTCCAGAGCTGAACACCTCAGCAAGTGACAGAAATAAATGAATATAACCTTTAGTGAATGCAAGATATATTGGCATTTTAGAGCACGTAAGAAGATACAGACAAGCTTAATAGTCAGAAAAGTGTGCCTTGACCTACAGTTTGCACTATTTAATTAAATGCTAAAAAGAATACAGCTTACCTGAGCTAGTATAGACAGAATGCCTACCACAGCTATAAACGCTGCAATGCTGGCAGATCCAAAACCTATAATCTGAAGAGAAGCAGAAAATGCATAAAACAAATGCCAAACACAATCCAGAACAGTTACAAGCAAAGAGGTATCTTTTTCAAAGAAAACACTGAACTCTGCTTATAATCTAAATCTATACAGGAAGTATCCACTTTTGATAATCATAGAATCATAGAATCATAGAATAGTTAGGGTTGGAAAGGACCTTAAGATCATCTAGTTCCAACCCCCCTGCCATGAGCAGGGACACCACACACTAAACTATGTCGCCCAAGGCTCTGTCCAACCTGGCCTTGAACACCTCCAGGGTTGGAGCATTCACAGCTTCCTTGGGCAACCTATTCCAGTGCCTCACCACCCTCACTGTGGAGAACTTCTTCCTTATATCTAATCTAAACTTCCCCTGTTTAAGTTTAAAGCCATTACCCCTTGTCCTACCACTACAGTCCCGAACGAAGAGTCCCTCGTCAGCATCCTTATAGGCCCCCTTCAGATATTGGAAGGCTGCTATGAGATCTCCACGCAGTCTTCTCTTCTCGAGGCTGAACAGCCCCAATCTTCTCAGCCTATCTTCATACGGGAGGTGCTCCAGCCCATATAACAGCTTTGGAAGGAGGGGTTTCGCTTTCCACATTATTTTCTATGTGGCTAAGCAAGGGTGAATTGCCCTGTTGGTGGCAGTGTCTAACCTGACTGATTGCCAAGAAATCAAAACATGAAGAAGGAAAAAAAACCAAAAATCTTAAAGAAAGGAGACAGAGGAAGTAATGTATTTGGAAACTCCCACAGACACAATAGCTTTTCAACAGGCAAGATCCCACCTCAAGATATACAAACAGCTTTGTGGAATGGGAAAAAAGGTCTACTTCACTTTATGAACTCATGCTTAAACTTATGGCAGGGTTTATGCATCAGGAGTCAAGTCCTGGATTAGCAAAGTACACTGACTTTACTTTTTAAAGCTGTATTTTTCCAGAATGTAGTTTTCTGAACAGTCTTCAATGAGAAACATGTCTTAGGGAATACTTATTTAAATGTCCTTAGTAAGATGTGAAGAGACCAACATTTACCTGTCGCAAGTACAGAAAAAAGCTAGAATACTGGCCAGCCTCAGGCAGATAGGAGAGAAACACTGTAATGCATATCAGGAGAACTGTAGAATCTTTTCTAACCTTCTTCAAAGACTGTAAAGAGACAAAGCAAGTATTGGAACATTTATACAAAGTCTAATGAAAGCACAAAGTAAGCAGAAGGTGGATTCACTTTTTAAAAACCTGGTTTAATCACGCACATTGGTAAAAGAAAAAAAAAATCACACGTGGAAACAGTTAAGCTGAACATTAAGTTCTAAACAACTCCCTGTTATATATGGTCTGTGGTATCGGATTCTTTTGCAAAGTGTCCCTTGATTTTGAAGCTACTGCACAGTAACAACTTACAAGTATTCACTGAAAACAGCATCATCCAGTATTTACGGAAATGTGTATCTTCTAATCAATCTCAGTAACAATCTGTTCTGAAAGATGCTAGCAAATAATACAGCCTCATTACAACTGTTTCTCTTCCCAAATTAGGAGAGTATTTTTCCTTGTTCACCCTTATACTTGCTCACCTTATACTTGTTCACCCATAGTATGAATCACTTTGAGTAACTAGCAAATTGTGGAAACCAAATTCTTCTAACGGCAGTCTTTCAAGCTTTTCACTCATCTCAGCATTCACAAGCAGTTCCCAGCAAGATGAATTTCATGAAGAACAATTGCTCTTTCCTCTCTTAAGATGTCAAGGTGTAACACAAACACAAATTAGCTAAGTAAGTGTAAATAACTGAACAAGTCACTAGAAAGACTGCATCTTTTAACACTTCCTATATATGCCTGTAGAAAAATCAGGCTTTACAGATTCATTCTAGATTAAAAAGAAATCACACATATAGCCAAAAATGGAATTTGCGAGTGGGGAGACACGCTGCCAATCAAAACTAGGAAGCATAAGATGAATATGGAAAGTCTTACAGGATCAGGTTTTGGGGTCTGTAGCAAAGTAAATATTCAGCACTTCTCTTACAATAATATAGAATAAGTTAGAAAAGTAAAGCATTTTCTCTTCCAATTTCAAAATAAACATTGTTTCCTATTCAAGAATCCACAATATCCACAAAGTCTGGTTTGGTTTCAGTTTTTAAGTGTAGCTAGATCTTTCATCTTAGAGTACAGAACAGAGATTATGGTATACCGAATAGTCAATCTACAAATAAGATTAAAGATTTCTCAGGCTTATAAAATGCAATTCATTATTATTAATCAATCATCAACTAATTATTCATTACTTATTACTCTTACTGTGAAAGGACCTGCTTGTTCCCATGATATAGAAGCTCCCCACGAAGCAGGTCTTATTTTTTCTGGAAGAGATTCAGGTACAGCTAGCAGAATGAAGCAGATGTCCACAACTGCAACCAATGTGGCCACTAGTACAACGAGGTTATCTCCATAGCGGGCAGACAAGTATGCTCCAATAGCAGGACTAGTTACCAAACTTGCTGCAAAAGTGGCAGATACCTGCACACAAGAACAGTTCGCAAATTTATTGAAGTGGTTATTCTGCCACTGAAGAAAAATGAAGCAACCACCCCTCCCCAGAAATGTGGTTTTGAAAATAACACCAGTCAGAATTAAGGAAAAAAAAAAACCAAAAAACCAAAACCAAACTTATGACAGTAAACATGGGTCCAAATAAAATTTCCCCATCCTCCTTCACAGCTGTCCTGGTTTAGCTACAGCAGTCATTATTTTTCTCCTTCTTAGTATCTGGTGCAGTGCGGTGTTTTTGACTTTCAGTCTGAGAACAACGCTGATAACACCGACGTTTTTAGTTGTTGCTAAGTAATGTTTACTCTGACCAAGGACTTTCTCAGTCTCATGCTCTGCCAGGGAGGAGGGGAAGCCAGGAGGAAGCAGAGACAGGACACCTGACCCAAACTGGCCAAAGGGGTATTTCATACCACAGCACGTCATGCCCAGTATAGAAACTGGGGGGAGTTACCTGGAAGGCCCAGATCGCTGCTCGGGTCGGGCTGGGTATCGGTCGGCGGGTGGTGAGTGGTTGTGTCCTTTTCCCTTGTTATTCCTCTTATCATTATTATTGGTAGCAGTAGTGGTTTGTATTATACCTTAGTTACTGGAGTGCTGTTATCTCAACCCGTGGGAGTTACATTCCCCCGA